AAGTCCATGACAGATGGGTTGAAGACCAAGAGGCAGAGCTGGCTACGTAGAGAGTCCGGTCGATGAACAGATATTAAATATGCAGGATTTCAAGGCATTCCGGATGGGACCAACCCTAGATCGCGCTCTAAACGAGAGCCTGCTGCCACCGACTCACCAGTTGGAACACAGAGCCCGTCAGTTCCCCAGTGCCTAAGCGGAGAAGCAAAGGAATGAGTAACACATATGCTTCTTACCCACTGTTGTGCGTATAGAGGGACAGTTCTATGTTTTCTTGTTCATGCTGCGAGCATGCTGGCACGCCTATGAAGTGTGGCCACTCCTGTTGCTGCTGCTGATGATGTTGTTGCTGGTGGCACTGGCGGCGGCGGTGGCGGCGGCTGTGGCGGCGGCGGCGGCGGCGGCGGCGGCGGCGGCGGTGGAGTGGCAGTGGCAATGGCAGAGGTGGTGATTGTGGTGTTCGTGGTGTTACTGTTACCGTAGCCGTTGCTGTTGATCGTCTTGTTGCGTGTCTTTTTCTTTTGCTTCTTCAATGTGTTGTTGGACTTTTCTCACCCTAGCTAGCTCTTATGTTAATTTTGCGAGGCTGTCAATGCAAAACTTGTTCTCCAGTCTTCATGCGAACAAATCCGACGATTTCGGGCAAGGAAAGGAAGCGCAAGCAAGCAAACCCAACTGCTTCACCTCACGCAATCCCCGCCGGTGGAAAAGGTTGCTCCGGTATTTTAGAGCCTGAAAAGGTGGCCGCATGCAAAACCTCTCCACCATCAAGTGGTTTAGCCTCGAAACTTCGTCCTGCCGGCCCGACTTTCGGCGCGAAGGGGTTTGCTTCAATCGGGTTGCATCTTCAAGGTCTTCAGGGTATGGTCAGACGGTGAGTGCATTAGGGTTTAGGGTTTAGGGTTTAGGATCAAGTGCCACAAGATAGGTTTGGGTCCATCCCGATCCTACTACCTACTGCCAGTTTACACTCAAGCCATTCGCCCGCAACAGTGCAGGTGCGTTTCCCCCTGGACGCCATGGACAAGTTCCTCGCACGGGTGTCCGAACAATGCTCATGGGTTGGGGCCTAAGTGTGTTCACAGTGTGAGGTAGTGCTCTTACAAAGACGGTCGTGTGTTGCGAATATTGTCGTGGTTGCTAGAATTGCGGCTGCTGCTTTGCTGTTGCTCAACGATTACCAATGATATAAAAATAGCTTCGACGACCACCACCACCAAGACGACTACTACTACTACTACTACTACTACTACTACTACTACTACTACTACTACTACTACGACGACTGTGACTCCCACCACTACGGTCACTGCCGATTTGCTGCCTGCACATTGTAGTTGTCGTATAGCTGCCCTACCGCAACTAATCATTTCACTTTCCGGAATTGTCACGGGGTTGACTTGCTCGTCGTGTTTGACGGGCCGTGCAACGCGGGCTGCTTCTGGTGGAGTCGCATAAGAAGAGAGGAGACAAGGAAGTGTGTCAACCTGTGGACCGTCGCTGAAGAGTATAACGGTTTAGGGTTTAGGGTTTAAGCTTAGAATCGGCAGTTTAGGAGACATCATGTGTCAGCGGAGGTTTCGGCTTTGTACTCATTTCTTCTCTGGAGTTAGTGGTTCTTCGGTCAGACGCATCCACAGAAGGCGCGCATGCATTTTCAAGATGGATAGAGGCAGGCTTGTTGCCATTAGGTCCACATGACGAGCAGGTCCTGTTCAATGCACTAAACCCTAAACCCTCAGTTTGGCAGGTACTGTATGAGTTGAGCAACTAGACCATGCACTTTGCAAGTGTTGTCGAGGGCTGCCTGCAGGAGCCTTAGGGTTAAGGGTTTGCGGTTTAGGGTCTAGGGGTTTAGGGTTTAGGGTTTAGGGTTTGAGGTCGAGGTTCAATCGGGCTCCTCGCAGAATTGTCATCGCAAGTGCACACCGGATCATCCATGACATTAAGCAGTGCTATGGCCAAGCACAGCTTGGAAGTACAACGCCCAGTTAGTAGATGCTGGGAGAAATAGGAATTTCAATATTGACGATGACCACAACTACTGGCATACCAAGACATCTCAAAATTTATGCGACTCTAAAGCCTCCAGCCCTAATCCCCGAAACCCTTTACCCTAAACCCTGTAACTCCAAATCCCAGAACCTAGATTCCTAAACCCTTAAACCCGAACCCCTGAACCCTGAACTCTTTAGTTTCAAATCCCAGAACGCCTAAAAAATTGCCAATACTATTTTGGGGGCTCCTTGTTAATATTATAATATCACGGGCCCCAAAACCCTATTCTAACTATCAAGGCCCCTATATTATAGCTATAGATCCCTTATAGACCCCTTTAAAGGAACCCTATCCTGACTATTAAGGCCCCTATCTTGTTTTCTTTCCCATGACATCCTTCACCTGGGCCTCGGCTCTGCCTCCCAAGACCTTCGGAAACATACCCTGTACCGTAACGACAGGGTCCGATCAAAGGGAAACCATTCAAAGGACCCGTAAGAATCCTTGTAAGCCCCTTTAAAAGGAACCCTTAAAGGAACCCTTAGGATTCTCTGGGATAAATGGTATTGTATATATATATATATATTTATATTTATATAAGCGCCTACCCAAGCCTTCCGGTCCGCACATGAAGGGGCCCATACAAATGAGAAGAGGAAGATGTAGACATATGCACGAGGAGGTCAAAGCAAGAGACTCTCTACAGACAGCGTTCTTGTAAACCCTAAACCCTAAACCCTAAACCCCTAAACCCTAAACCCTAAACCCTAAACCCTAAACCCCTAAACCCTAAACCCCTAAACCCTAAACCCTAAACCCTAGGTGTTTAGGGTTTCCCAGTTGTGCCGAGCAATGTCATGGACCAGGCCGTGGCCGCGAGCATGCTGATCGCAGTGGGCCTGGTCGCCTACGAGCGCAGCAAGTAGGCCAGCGTGGCTGCTGCGTCTGCCATCGTCAATGCCATCACCAATGCCATCAACCCACTGACAACTTCTTCATCACCATCATCATTCGTCATCATCATCGCCATGAATGTTATCCCGATATCCCCATGATATCTATCGTCCACTGTATTGTCGTTATCCCAGCCCTCTTCCGGATCATAATGGTCACCATCTGCACAGTCATGGGCATGCAGCCTGCACGGTCTGGGTTAAACAGTTTAGGATTGATTTTTTAGCGGCTGCAAGCGCAGCGGCAACAGCGCCAGCAAACAGCCACTGCAAGCATAACATGAACAAGCGCACAACTAGTAACGAGACAGGTAACGGCAATTACAACAGCCGCACCACGACAGCAACAGACACAGACATAGTAGTAGAACTAGCAATGGCTTTAGCAATAGCAATACCAATACAAATAGCAATACCAACAACAGCAGCAAAAGCAACAGCAACAGCAACAACAGCAGCAGCAGCAACAACAACAACAGCACCACCACCACCACCACCACCACCACCACCACCACCACCAACAACAACAACAACAGCAAGAACATCACCAATATCAACCACAACCACAGCCACAGCAACAGCAACATACACACACGCATACACGCACACACACACACACACACCAACACCAACAGCACCAGCAACGGCAACAGCAACAGACAAAGCAGGAGCAAGAGCAACAACATCAACAAGTGCTACTACTTCTACTACTGCATGATCTTCTTCATTTTCTTCTGGTTCCGGCTCTCGTTGCTGCACCGGTCGATTTGTTGTGTTAACTCTGCTGTTCCCAATGGCAGCTCAGTCATGGTGCTACTGGTGTTCGTGTTGCTGGCAGTGCTGATGCTGATGCCGCTGATGCAGATGGTTGGTGATTTCTGCAATGGTGATGGTGATGTTGATGGTAGTGGGGTTGAGTATGCTGATACGATGATGATGGTACGATGTCGCCGGGGCTGTACTCCTTAGACTTGTCACTGGCCCAGGTGCAGCAACATGTGTTCCACTGCTATAATAACGAACCTTCGTCGTCATGGTTGTCGGTATTACCAGTAGCATCACATTACATCACTTGTAGTATCAATATACCTCTGCTTCCTGTGATCGCTAGCAGCTAGCAGCTTTCTTCTTGGTGTCTTGCAAAAACACTATATCTCGTGGTCATCTGCTACGCAGGAGTTGAGGCACGCACCTTGGCGAGCAGGGGGCTCGCCGAGCAGTTGCCCAGTTTTCACATCGATGAGTTTTCAGCGCTGAGGTCAGTCCACAGCGAAAGCCAAAAGGAAGCAGCCGCTGTTCTACGTTATGCTCTTGCTTGACTCACCGAAACATGTTCACTGTTCTTCTGCTCCTGAGCTTTAGTAATCTGTTCACGTTGTTATCATTCCAGATTGTACTTACTTGCCTCAAACGGTTAATGCTAGTGTGGTTTTCTGGTATTGTTGTTATGGTACTGGACATAAGTCTGTGTTTGTTCACGTTCCGCAACACCACCTTAAGCCTAAGTGAACCCATCTTGTAGCTTGTATCATGTGACAAGTGGTTGTTTCAGTATATCGTTGCTTGATGACGGTCGCCGTTCTCGCAAAGGCTGGTTCGTACGATCAGCCATTTGCAGTTACTGATTGCTCCGATCAGATCATCCATATCATCATAACTGTGGTTGTACTAGTCTATACCAGTAGTAGCCTGGCATAGGAACACAATGCAGTGGTAATTATTATAGTGAAAGCGAAAACTCATAGTTTATGGTCGCCGAAATGGCAGTCGCAATCGTAGTCGTAATCGTTAGTGTACTATCAGAAGTAGTACTAGTGCTGTGCGATCGCTAGTACTTGTACTTGTACATCGTCGTCGTCGTCCTTACCTTGTTGTTGTTTCGCCTGTTGTTTTACAATCGGTTAGAACTAACCAAGTACTGCTATCTCTCTTTGAAGGTGTTGCAGTTTCTCTTGCCTTCCTACTGTAGGAACATCACTGCACGCAGCCTCTGTCAGCAGCTGCTAGGATCAGCGCACACGTCCGCAGGCTCCTCGCGCACTGCCGCACATGGCATCTGCCGAGTGGCCGGACGCGTACTACATACCTATGCCCGTTTCCTCGGGCTTGGTTCGTCACCCACATCCCCCGCCTTGGCCGGCAGAAGCCCCCATGGTTCATCAAGGGCTGAGCAGTGAAGCTCAGGAGTTCGACCCTTTCTCAATGCCCGCGGCGGTCAGTCTACTCGACCAGCCAGGGCAACCCCTTGTTTACGTTTGGGTGGAGGATTACTATGAGGACTCCTGTTCTGTTGGTGCTGTGCAGCTGGAGGCAACTCAGTTGCAAGGTGAAGATGGCGATGCTCATTTTGGGATGGTTGAGAACGACATGGGCCAGCAAGGGCTCCGCGTTGAAGCCCCGGAGTTTGTCCCCAAGTCAATGTCCACGGCTGTCTTTTCGGGCCCTTCTGCACCAGTAAGAGCAGGCCGCAGCCGCAGCGAAGACTCCTGTAGTGTTGGCGATGTGCCGGTGGAGGCAAGTCAGCCGGAAGGTGAAGATGACGATGTTCATTGTGGGGCGCAGACAACGCGTCAGAAGAAATCAGGGAAACGACTTATCAATGCTCGGCTCCCATTGAAAAAGCAAGGTGCCAAGCAGCAGGAGGTCTCTTGTCTGCCAGCTGAGGAATGGGGCGTACAAGCACTTAAAGGGTCATGGGACTTTGTAACTAGGGTTATAATTAAGGTAACTATACTTATAACCCCAATTAAGGGACTTATAACCTTACTTAATAAGTCCCATGATCCTCCAAGCACTGGATGCTGTTGAGGTGACAGCCCAGGCCAGAAGCCTCGAGATCGAGAATACGCGGACCTTGCAGGCATTGGGGGCAGGGACGTAACAGAGACACCGTAATAATTACCTATACTATTTGGGAGTTTCCGAAAATGGGGGACCCTAATATAGTACCCTAAATAGTAGTATCCTTATTATAAGGACCCAAAATTAAGGTACCCCCGGTTTTCGGAAACTCCCATTTTGGTGGTACATTTATTTTAAAAAATGTACAAATGGGCCCCGAAACCCTAGTCAACCCTTGAGGCCCCTGGGGTAACTTCAGACGAGCTTAAGGTAAAAGCCAGAAAGTTGGAATATGATTATCCTAACCCTTCTATGGTAAATTATAGGGTATCCTACCATGAAACCATATTCCAACTTTCTGGAGTTCCCTGTACATTTACATGCTCAAGCGCATCAAGAAAATGCCGTCGAAAAGCACGTGCAAAGTAATAAAAGAGCGTAGGTCGGACGGGCACACGACAAAAAAGACCCTAAACTACGGAAGCCCAGGGCCCAGAAGTAGGAGCAACAAGTTACGAAAGGAAGTAGCGAAACTTGTAGTAAGAGCAATAGTTAATGGCAATAGTCCTAAGTTGCAGTCACCGTCGCCATCGTTGGTAGTCGTCGTTGTATTCAGGAGTACGAACTACAACAGCTATTGCTCCAAATATAAGAAGCAGCAGTAACGAGCTTCTGTCACACCAGTGATGAACTTGTGATTACAGATCTTTTCCTGTTTGCTGATGGATTCCTTGTTCTTGCATTGCTCACCCTTGCAGGCAGACGGTGCTGGTGATGTGCCCGCACCAGAGCCTCCGAGCGGACAGTGCCAGTCTGATATCCTCCCTGCAAATCCCTGTGCAGAAGCTCAAGCCCTTGGGTGGCGGCTGCTGACACGCTGGGGTCGCTCGGGCGTGCAGGTGGAGAGGATGTTGCAGCTTGATCCAAGAGCATCAGATCTGCCATCAGGGGAGCAGTTGGGCTGCCCAGCGAGTGAAGCTGCTGTGGCGGAGCCCATCACTTACGGCATCATGGAATTCAAAAATGCCTACCTGCACGACGAAAAGAAGCGCGATCCTTCCATCGCCCGGTACAGCCAGAGCAGTGTTGAAGGGCAACAGGCGGTTGATGTTGACAGCAGGGCTCATCCAGCTTTCACGGATGTCGTTCGCCATGGTTCGGAAGACTCGATTCCACCGCAGTCTTGTCCGACAACATCTTCGGCAGCAACTTCAGTGCTTGGAGCACCATCTCAGAAAGTGGAGCCAGATGGCATTCTCCCTTTCCAAGTGGAGTCTGGCATCGAGTACGACCGAGGCTGGGTCAAGTACAAGGACCCAGAAAGCGGCGAAATCTGGTTCCACAATGAGCACACGGATGACTATTTCTTTGCTCAGTACAGCCGTCCGTGGGGTTGGCTGCCCTACGAGAGTAACAGTGGGCAGCGGTGGTGGTGGCACGACAAACGCAAAATCTTCTTTTTCGAAGGCCTGAAGTAGTAATAGCAGAATTAGTAGTAATAGTAGTAATAATCATAATACTAGTAATAGTACTAATAGTAGTAATAGTAGTTGGGGGGTACTGCACAAGGCCTTTGAATCATGGGCAGCCTGAAGATGAAGCCTATGCTGATGGACAAAATCCTGCATGACCTTAAGGATCCTTAACTATGGGAACTATGGCATATTCCTTATAAAGGGTAATGCAGGATTTTGTCCATCAGCAGTATGGGAGAGTGAAAGTTGGGAATTTCAATTGATCGGATCGACCCACATACATTCCGTGCCAGCGGTGGGCCCGTGCAGCGTCGCAGACGCAGCAGAGTGCATGTCAGTTTGAAGATTAGATTATTAGACGATGGAGATGGGAGCATGGGCTAAAAAGGCAGACTGCTTGAGTGTGCCACTTGATGCGCCGCTGATGTCGCACAGTCTCGAACGCTTCATCTCAGTTCAACCCGGCACTTGCTGCGGAACTTCGGCTCAGTAGGGCAGGTGGGACAGATAGAGGCCATGCTGGGACATCAGGCCCATGTCACGCGATTTGTTTCTTTTCCGGTTGTGTAGGTAGCAGAATGATGGATCATCTGCGTGAGTCCTGAAAGCTGTAAACAGCCAAGGATCCTTAAACGCCTGAACCGTATAGCCCGCAAAACCTGATGCCTAAACACTAAACATTGCAGCACCTTGCTAAATAGAATAGGGCGTTGGGGTACAATCCTTGAAGTCTTCCAGCCATCGTTGCAGTTCAACCTCACAGCCCCTCAGGTTTTTTTTCAGGAGAAGTAACGGAGAAATCAGAACCAGCCTAAACCATACAGCGGTAAAGGCTCTAATACAGTGGCCTTAGAAATTACCAATACTAGTTTGGAGGTTCCTTATCATAGTTAATTATAGTATTATCCGCCCCAAAACCCCGTTCTAATTATTAAGGTCCTTATATGAAATATCAGAGCCTTTCAGCCTTACAGCAGGCCAAGAGTGAATGTAGCAGTCGTCATAGTCTTTGTAGTGGATCGGGCTATGGCTGGTCTAGTGGATTCTGATTCCCGGATAGTCACCACGATAATTCCATTTGTGCTTGAAACATCAGTAGTCCTCACCACCTCATCTGCGCATGATTTGGACTCGTTCCAGCCCCATCGATTTGTACTTGAAGATTTGGTGCGTGTTTCCCAACAATACGGGCTGTTAGAGCTACGAGTAGGTCGGAACGGCAGCTTTATGAGGGAGACCTCAACGTTGGATATGACTACCAGTACTTGAAGGCTCATGGGACTTAGTAAGTACGGTTATAAGTAGGTTGCAATTAGGATAACCCCACTTCGGGGACTTGTAACCCCAGCTCGGTCCCATGATCCTGTAAGTAACCTATAGAACCCTTATAGATCCCTTAAAGAAACCCTTTAAGGGAACCCTACTTACTAAGTCCCATGATCCTTTGAGTACTTGGTGATGAGGAAACCCGGCCCGGCAGTCCCTCCGCTCACGTAACCTTGCGGCGGCTTCCGACATTTGCTGCTCATGGAAATTATGATAAATGGGTGGCTGTCAAAATTAGGTCCCTGTTTGGGTCCCTATACGGCACCTAATATTTAGGGTACGCAAAAAACGGACCTTAATTTTGACAACCACCCAAATAGTGAAAACAGCGATGCGGAGCATGGCACCGTCCGCCATAAGACCTAAGCTTAAAACCCCGAGCCCGGGAAGCCAACCCTAAAGCCCACAGCCCCAAACCCTAAAGCCCTGAAACCTAAGCCCTAAGCCGCTAAAACCCTAAACCCTGAACCCCTAAAGTTCAAGGGAGTTCAAAAAAAAGAACCCCTAAACTCTATGAAACACCCTAGAAGTGTAGCTCTTCTGCAGCTTGTGGCTCAGAACGCCAACCGGGGCCTAGGGCCCTCAACTTCCGCGGCGTCTGCGGCGCTCGGTGGATCTGCCATGTGGATCCCGTCTGAAGTACAGGTTCCCAGGGAGTTTCAGACGGGTTTAGGGTTTAGGGTTCAGGGTTTAGGTTTCTGAGTAGTACCCCTTTGCCCTTTGTGTTGTGGGGTCTCCTTGTTAAAAACAGAATAGTAGAAAAAAGGGTACCCTTACCATAAAGGGGCTACTCAGGAACCTAGGTTTAGATTTAGGCCCTCCATAGCTGGTAATGGTATGCCAGCAATCCCTAAACCCTAAACCCTACCCTTGACCAGGGCATTTTGGCAGTCTTCGTCTGCGGCTGCTTCGTCACCCTGAATCTGATTCTGTCCAAGCTGCTGCAGGCTGGGCGAAGCGAAGCCATGGTCGGTCGTGAAGGGGGCTCTGCGTCGGAGTGGAGGTTCAGGGGTGAATATGATGGGACTTTCCGGCAATAGGGAACCCTAATATAGTACCCTAAAAAGTAGGAGGATCCTGATTATGAGGGTCTCAAAATATGGTACCCCCATTTTCGGAAACTCTCATATTGCGCGCCTTCATGTGGCCAGAACAGGGTCTCCCGGTGCATCATAGTATGAAGATGTGGTCCCATCCAACTACCAACATCTGCCCATCCCTAGACAGGTGGAAATGTCCGGCAGGTGGGGACCAGCACAACCTTAAATCCAAATCGACCCAAACCATGTAAAGCCCTGTAAAAGCATATGGGACCGTCAAAGGACAAGGAACCCGCAGAGCTGGATGACCACCGGGTTGTTTTCTTCGTTCGTCGACGAATCCAATTCATCTCAAGCGTTCCTTCCTGGTACTTAGAGGATCATGGTACTTAGTAAGTAGGTTATAATTGGGGTTAGAAGTCCCCTAGGTGGGGTTATCCTAATTATAACCTAGTTATAACCCTACTTACTAAGTCCCATGAGCCTTCAAGTAGTCCCCGCTGCAACCTTCCTGGTAGTCCCCCCTGTAGCATGCTAGCACAATTCGGCCATCGGTGCGGTAATTGAATTCGTGCCAAAGTCCGGTGTAGCAGCATGCAATCACTGAGCTTTGGAGTACCATACTTTAACACTCATTTTCTCGAAGGAACCAGTATGAAATAAAATAGGTTTAGGGTTTAGGGAATTTTTAAACTTTTATATTTTGTGTATCACTGGTTCCTTTTTAGCGCAGAATCAGGATGGTGGCACGGCAAGGCATGGCTGCATATCACTGCCAGCGGAAGGAGATCAAGTGGGTCCTTTCACGAGGCACTCTTCAGGGTTCGATCAAATGTAGGGGCCTTATAATAATTACCAATACCATATTGAAGGGTTCCTTATTATATTTATAGTAGGACATGACCCAAAACCCTATTCTACTCATTAAGGCATTAGTTGAAACCACAGGGTTGAGAGTTTTGCGGGCGTATCTTCAAAACGTAGCAACTTTACATTTCTCTAAGCCGGTAAGGGAACTCGATACGCACTTCTTCTGTATTGTGTAGTACCGAGAGCTATGCATGTTTAGGCAACTACTCATAGCGGGGCAACAGAATGGGCAGTATCGAGTGCGAGTGAGGCAGCGAACCCGAAGGTTGCCAACCATACGTAAGGGTCAATTGCGTGCACCTGTCAAG